TCTTATTTATTTATTTACTTTCTTTGCTTTTAGGGCCACAGCCACCAGTACTCATCTTTATTTAAAAAATAATTATGTGGTTCTGTGGACAAATCAAAAAATCTTAGAGAGGTGTTTCTATATGTTTGTATTAAATCATCATGTTGTATGCCTCAAACTTAAGCAGTATGTCACTTGCATCAATAAATCTTGGGGTCTTAGATAAATATTTGTAGTAAATGATAGAACTCCTAGTTCTGCACTCAGGATTTACTGCTGGTGGTGCACAGAGAAACGTAGGGGATGCTGGAGATTGAACTTGGGTTAGCTGCATGCAAGGTAAGACTCCACCAAGTATACTATTGCTCTAGCTTCTACTTTTTTAAAAAAATAATTCAAGTGTGCTCTAATCTCACAAGTGTTATGTAGTAAGATGCATTGTATAACTAAGTATCTTATAAAACATTTTCTCATGCCCAGATGTGGCATTGATATAACAATTTTTCTAAACATACAAAATTCATATTATATGAAAGAAAAAACAAAAATCATAAAATTCTAAAATGTATAAGCATTTTATTATATTAGGAATGGAACCAAAATATAAATTTATAATCAAAAGTAAAGCTGTGAACTGATGGGATCTGGTTCACTGAGGCAACAAAGAGTTCTTTATTTGTCAACAATGAAACTAAAATGCTGTCCATAAGACTGAGACCCACAACATTTATAGAGGCCAGCAGTTGATGCTGAGTTGCATTTAAGAGTGCTAAAAAAGTTCCCAAATTGAAAATCTAATATTTAACTTAGATTACACTAATACAAAACTTTATATAAATTTAAGGTGTGCAATATTTATTTGGTTGCATTCATTCAGTATGATTGCCACCATAGCATTAGCTAACATCTCTATGATTTCACATAATTTATCAGTTTATATGGTGAGAACATTTAAGAAATAGTCTTTTGAACATATATTATATATTTTGTTGAATATAATCACTATGCTGTGCATTTCATCTTCAGAACTTATCTTCAATTGTAATTTCATGCCCTTTAACAATATCTCCCAATATCCCCGGACTCCTGTGAACACTATTCTACTTTATCTCTGTGAGATTCAGCATCTATGGATTATAATGACTATAATCAATGAGAAGAGTTAACAGGTCTTGGTGATAATGTAGAGAAAAGGGAATCGTTTCATCCATTTTCAATGGGTTAAAATGTAGATCGATTCAATCACTATGGAGAAGTTTGGAGGTTCCTGAAAAAACTGTAACAACAAACATCCTTCTGAGAGCACTTTTCAGGGTTAAGGTTCAGAAGAAATAGGAGGGCATACCCATGAACCACACCAGGATATCTAATCTCTACTGTTTCTATTCCTGGATCCATACCATTTCCAATTTGAACAGAGAAGAGGACAGGATTCATTTACTGTAGCTGCTTTAACATTCACATCTGTTCATTCCATCATCTGTATCCTTTCTGGATTTGTTTTATAGATTATTCTTCTGATTATACAGACTTTTTCTGCTATTTCCTATATCTGCTTTCTTTTATTTGGAATCCACATCTGATTATTGAGTTGTTGAAAGCTGGCTTATGGATTTCTGGAGCTCTTCCTTTATGTGGCTCTCTCTTCTTAGGGTTATATCTCCTTAATTTCTACACTTACCTATGATTTGTATTTTGAAATTATTTTCTTCAGCTTAATACGAGTGTAATGATAGCTCATTACTATTTTTGTTTACAGTACTTACATTATTATTATTATCAAATATCCTTAAAATACTTATTACCTCTCATATCTGTGGTGAAGTCAATTTTGAAAGCCTTTAAGCTTCCTTCTTCCAGAGGTTTTGTTATTCTAGATCTTTTGTATTTCCATATACATGTTATAAACATACTCTCAATTGCCTAAAAAATAGACTTCTGGGCTTCTTAATAAGCCTATGTAAAATCTATAGGATTATCATGTTGAGAGTTATCTCAATAATGCTGTCTTGTGATTTTCAGTTTGCAAAGTCTATTGGTAATATATAAAAATGATTTGAATTTATATTTTATTAAAGAAGATATTTGAGAATAAGAGAGGATAGCATAAAGGGCTAGGATACATTTCTGACATGGATGAAGGACCCAAGTCTGGTCTTCCATGTACCACCTGGAGTAACCCTAGGAACCTCCAAGAATTGTCAGGAATTTAGCTAATGATCTTCACCTCCACCAGGGTGAGCACTGAGTTAGCTGGCCTGAATATTCAAGTTTAGTATGGCTAGAAGTTGTTCATGGATTCCCTGAATACTGCCGAGAGTGACTTTAAATGGTCTCTTTATTTAAAAAATAATTATGTGGTTCTGTGGACAAATCAAAAAATCTTAGAGAGTTGTTTCCATATGTGTGTATTAAATCATCATGTTGTGTGCCTCAAACTTAAGCAGTATGTCACTTGCATCAATAAATCTTGGGGTCTTAGATAAATATTTGAAGGAAATTTTAAAGAATTGAAAATTATTAAATAGTTCTTAAATCCAAGATTTTTACAAATAAAAATTTCATTTTTAAAGCTTGAGATACCTTGCAATTTCTTTTTATTCTTATATAATATCCTTATTACACTGTAACTTAATTGAAGATATGTAGATTGAATGAAGAGGTACCATGAAAGTAATTTTTTTCAGCTTTTCTGTACTCTCAAACTGTACTCTCAGGGTTTATTATTAGGAGATAGAAATATTTTTCTTTTCAAATTTTATTTTGCTAAAACAGTGATTTACAAAGTTATTCATAACTTTGGGTTTTAGATGTACAATGTTCTGTCACCAACTCTACCACCTGTGTAAGCTTCTCTCACCAGCGTACCCAGGTTCCCTCTCTTGTTCTGCACCCCCAGCCTGCCATCTTGACAGGCACTTTTTTATAAGTTTGGTTATTAAAGTTTGGGTTTCATGATTTCATTGTTGACTCTGTGACTTAGATATTTAATTTATCATTCCGTAGCCCTACTGATCCCTTGCTTTTTGCCCCCCTTTGCATCTCATCTGTCTCTTCTCCAGCCACTTGCTTTTTCTTCTTTTCCTTGTATTGTGGTATCAAGGGTGATCGAGGCATTCTCTCTTTAAACTATTTCATTTCATCATCCAGATACTCTAAATACCACATCTAAGAGATATTATTCTGTATTTATTCTTCTAGTTTACATCATTTAACATAACATTTTCCAGTTTCATACATATTGCAGAAAATTGCATGATTTTATTATTCATTGGGTCTGTGTAGTATTCCATTGCTTATATCTACCACATCTTCATGGTCCACTTACCTGTTTTTAGGCATCTAGGTTGATTCCAAATCTTAGCTATTGTACTGAGTGCTGCAATATGACCAGGAATCCCACTTTTGGGTATCAACAACCAGAATAGAAAAATGTTCATTCAATTCCTACATTCATTCAAAAGGATGTAATACATAGGATTTTAAAATTTACTATTTTCACAAAAGAGTATAAATACTTATAAATGAAAATAAATGTTATTAATACATGAAAGAACATGATTTATACAAAAATATCATTCTGAGTAGGAAAAGCTATGCTAAATAGTGAAAATACTGAATAATTCCAGTTATATGATATTCTCAAAAGAGTGCTGTAGGATAAAATTGGTTGTCCTTTCTCCCTTGCTACAGAGAGCTTAGGTTTATCAGGTGCTACCCATCACAGTTCTCCTGAAACACCTCCACTCCTCTGTGTTTATTGGAATGTAGCTCTAAACATTTTATGATGATATTGGTATGTTCTGTTTCCCTTGCCACAAGGAACTTAGGTTTATCACAGTGCTCCTGAGGCACTTCCATTTCATTGTGTTTATCTGTAAACTCTTCTCTATGCTCTCTTCCCCAACTAGTTAATCAGCTTTTCCCCTAATCAGACTCTGTTAACTTGTAAGGTCAGATTCCTCAGAAACCTATGATTTTTTATGTATGAGTGAAATGTTGTCTTTCTCCTCTCCTTATGTCTTATGAATAGTTTACTTTAAAGAAACGTCCTTTTTGTATAGACACAGGAAGACAGTTATTATTATGCTTTTGTAACTTAAGATTTAATTGGCTTCAAATATTATTCACTCCCAGGCATCTGCTTTCTCGACTTAAGCTCAGTTGCCCTTAGTTCCTAGCACCCCAAAAGCAGGGTACCAACGAGGGACTGAATGGACCCAGGGCAAGCTGTGAGCTACCCTGGCATTAAAATGGGCCAGGTCAAAGTGCCATGATACTCAACTATAAGTTGAGAGCTTTGTCATGGACAAATTCTGTCATGCTCCAAAAAGTAGTGACAAGATTAGTATCCTGCTAGGGATAGGAAAGACTAATCTGGCCTGAGCACTGTTGTCTGAGATCGAGATGACTCCAGGAGAGCAATTCTATAAGCTTAATGTATCTCTTACTGTGTCCATACAAAATGATTAATATTATGAATGTGTATATGTTTGTTGGACTAAGGAGAGGAGAAACACACCCATATTTTCCTTTAGGCCAGTTGTCTCGCTGGATAAGAACCTGTCCTGCAAGTAGCTTCCCCTGAGGGAAGGACCTACATCCGCAGTTTGTATTTTGATATCTATGTGTAATTATTACCTCAACCCCTCATGATGGGGATTTAACCAAGTGGGAAGGTATGTGGGGGATGGGTGGGTATTGAAGCAAGAGGAGACTGAGAAGTGAATGGAGACGAGATTGGAATAAACTGCAATTGAGACCAACTTGGCCCTAGTTCCTTCCTTCACCTGTCCATAGCCATTGACCTCCTCGGGGTGGGGGAAGCGGCCCGAGACTACCCAACTGGGGTGGTAGGAGAGATAGAGCACTGCTGCCCCTTTTTGTGTTTACACAAAGTACCTTAATTTAATTATTTTCATCATTAAAATGTTAATAAGATCACTGGAATGGGAATTGTAGTGAATGGGTGAAAAGAGACACTGAAACTTTCTAAGGTGATGAAAATAGTCTCCTTTATTTATCTCCATTATTTTTCGTGAAACTTTTATTTAAAAATATACATTTGTAAAAACTTATAGAAATAGATTTAATAGGGATATTTTATTGAAATAAAGTATAATTAATTAAAATATATTAAATTCAGTAGTTTCATTTAACAATTATACATAGCTTAAGACTGATTTGGAGGGGCCAGAGAGATTCTTCAGTAGGTAGTTATTTTGCCTTGCATGTATCAGACCTGGTTTCAATCCAGGGAATGCCATCTGATTCCATGAACACCACTTGGTATTGCCTAAAAGCAAGCAAACAAACAAAAAAAGAGAGAGAGAGAGAACAAAAAAAAGAATGATAGAAATATAAAAAGAATTTTAATTGTAGTATACTCTATATTTAAAGAAAAAACACTGATATGAAAAATGTAAAAAGAAATTATTTTTAATATAGTAAGGAGATCTCTTAAATGAAAACATGAGAAAGAGTTCAAGAGTTACAAAGTGTGAGATTTAACCTATGATGTAAATATTCTAATTACCAATTTCAATGTGTTCTCTAATACCAGTTGGATTTCCTGAAATTCTGTTCAGTTCTGACACTCACCTCAAATAGAATGAGATTCCAAAAGTGAAGGCCTCAGATACACAACACAGCTGCCACCTTAAATACCAAAAGTCTTGATTATTACATAAGCTTCTAGCTGAATGACTATACATCAAAGACTTCTATGATCCTTTATTTGGATTTGATAAAATTTGCTGGAGTTACTTATAGAACTTAGAAAACCAGTTTGCTCATTATAGTATTGATGTAAGAATAAAGAATATGAATAGCCAGAGGAAAAAAATGTATAAGGCCAGATTTGGAACAGCTATCTTCAGAAGTTTAGGAACCACCATAGTGGAGCGTGGAAGCATTCTGTTTAACCAACCTAGAAATTCAATGAACTCAGTCCTTTTTTATTTTTATGGAGATTTATTTACATAGGTATGAGTATATAGATATCGGTCATTGGTGATTGAACTCAATTCCACCATTTCTCTCCTCTACAGAAGTTAAAATTTGGGTCAACTGAAAGGTCTAGTAAGAGTGGGTGGGAAAGAACAAGAGAGCACCAAGAAAGTAATAGACTTAACATACGTTTCCGGATCTTCTAAGAGAAAGGGAAAGTCATTGACTGTGTATATTAAGTTATTGTAATTTTCAAATTAAATTAAAAAAGGAACTAGAATATGAAGTAAATAATAAAGAAGATAATAGATGACAAAAATAAACAATAGAGAATTAGGACAAACTGCACACATATAAAAGCATAATATGTACAAGTAAATTAGCTCTAAATGCTCTAGTTAAGGGCTGGAGCAATAGCACAGTGGGTAGGGCGTTTGCCTTGCATGTGGGTGACATGGTTGACCTGAGTTCAATTCCTCCACCCCTCTCCGAGAGCCTGGCAAGCTACCGAGAGTATCTCACCTGCATGGCAAAGCCTGGAGCTACCCATGACGTATTCTATATGCCAAACACAATAACAAGTTTCACAATGTTACTAGGCCGCTCGAACAAATCGATGAACAACAGAAGGACAGTGACAGTGACAGCCCTAGTTAAAAATAAAAACTCAATTCCTTGACATTTTGAGCCATCTCTAAAACATATAAGTTCAAATTTTGTTCAGGTAAAAAAAGGATTAATATATTAATTAGACTTAGTTTTCTAATTAATTTATATAATTTTTATAAATTTTATAAATTAAATTTATAAAATGATGTGATTTACATGCATAAAAACTTCAAAATATGGCAAATAGTTCAATGTGTCTATATATATATAATTGTATACATATATTTTACTCTTTTAGCATTATACAGCCTTCTAAAAAATGCTAAAGCATGAGGAATTACTAAAAAAGGATAGGATTGTAATTTGTATTTTCTAAAATAGTAGACAAAATATGGAGCAAAAGAAAACTTTTATCACCATAATAAAATAAGGAAAGAAAGAAAAAAGCAATGAAAGGGGTTATAATGTGTCAAATTGTTATAACAAAAACATGTTTAGTATAAGCAATGAAAGAAATAATGCAAATGCACCAAATTAACTTATAAAATGTTATTAGTTTGTCTCAAAATAATAAAATTAAATACAGCTTTATATTATATGAACACACAGCAAAGAAATAAAGCAATGAAACAAAATAAAGGCGTTGAAGAACACATAGGCAAATATTAATCAGAATACTTAATAAAACATTGAAATCCCAACTGATTATTTTATAGTAATGTCACAAATAATTACAAAGAAAAGTATGAAATGTATTAGCAATTCAAATTTGGCAATGTATAAGAAATTTATAAATAGAAGGCTTCAAACATGTAAAAGACACTGATTGCTAGGAGTATATGTTTCTTCTTGAATCAAGGGAAACAGAACAATAGATAGTCTTGCCATTGCAGTAAAATTAAGATTGATCATTGGCTGGAAGATAGTACAGTGGGTAAGGCATTTGCCTTGTACATAGTTCCTGGCTTCATTTCCACAACTGTATATGGTCCCTGATATCAGAACTAAAAATAATATCCCAGTCCCAACTCCTCAATCTCCATCCTCCACCCCTGGATCACTTCCCTGGTAAGCCCTATTCTGTACGCCAGATTTTAGACCATGTTTCTTTGGGTTTTTTTTTTCTCACTTACTATATTTTTTTTTATATTCCACATATGAGAGAAATCATTCTTTATCAGTTTCTCTTCTTGTTGACGTCACTCAGCATAATACCCCCCCCCCAGTTTCATCTCAAAGAATCAAATTGCTTGATACTATCTTTTCTTACAGAAAAGCAGTATTCTATTGTGTATATGCACCATAGTTTTTTTTATTTCCCATCACTCATAGGACAAAAGGTTGATTTCCAAGATATATCTTGGCAAACCCTAACAGCCAATCAACATTTGGACAACCAATCTTTAAACATAGAGAAAAGAAATGAATAGAAGCTTCCTCAAAGAAAACTTAAAGATGATTGAGAGGTATATGAAAAAATGCTCTGCAGCCCTTTCATCAGGGAAACGTAAATCAAAGCAACAATGGGCAAACACATACCAGTGAGACTGGCATACAACACAAACAATGAAAACAACCAGTGTTGCGTAGATGTGGGTAAAATGAAACCCTCATCCACTGCAGGTGGAAAAGTACACTGTTTCAACCTATTTGGAAAACAATATGGACACTCCTCAAAAAATTAAAAATTGAGGGGTTGGAGCAATAGCACAGCAGGTAGAGCGTTTGCCTTGCATGAGGCCGACCCAGCTTTGATTCCCAGCATCAAATATGGTTCCCTGAGCACCACCAGGAGTATTTCCTGAGTGTGGAGCCAGGAGTAAACCCTGTGTATTACCGGGTGTGACCCAAATTAAAAAAAAATTAAGAATCAAGCTTTCATAGACCTACCAATCCAACTTCTTGTTATCTATTCTATGGGTCCAAAAACTACTCAGGAGATACATTTGCACTCTTTTGTTCGTTGCAGTACTATTCACAGTAGTCAAGATCTGGAAACAACCCAAATTTCCAAGAGCAAATGACTCTATTATCTTACCTTTGGCCCATGAACGTTCCTGCAAGTAAATTTTTCTGTCCTTTTAACCTATGGGCCATAATTTATACATCAATACATCTCTTTTGGTATTCAGTGAAAAGATGCCCTGAATTTATCCTGTAGGCTTTCTAACCTAGAAAGAAATTATTCAGACATTCTCCCTACCTGCCACATCCTGTCCCACATTTTTGTATGAAGGAAGCAGAGAGCTGGATATAAATGATGTCTGGGAACTCTGACAGGGGAAGCGTCTAGAAAGGAGAGGATAGAGATGCTAGAAAGACTTTTCTATTTTATGGGCATAAAGCCCTTTGTCATTGACACCTTTATTTCCATGTTTTCTAGCTTGGTTTCATTAAGTGAGGATGAGAAGATGTTTTCTGCAAAGCCCTCTGTCTCAGACAACAACAGGAATTGAATTGCCATCACCAGCTGGTGGTATAACCACAAACAAAACCCAGAGAAGCTCCGACTCTCACTTTTTTACATAAAAATGAGGATTATAACAGCTGCCAATTTATCTTTAATAGAGCCTGTGAAAATATTACTAAAGTTTTGAAAAGTGAAAATGCTCTATACCTGTAACATGCATTTAACCTCAGGTACTATTGTTTGTCATTTTTCATGGTATTTTTCTGGACTTGACTTGATGAACTATGTGAGGATTTTGATCATTTTTTGACTAGTTATTTCATCGTTGTACTTTGAATACCTGGCCACCAGAAATTTCGTGGTTTGGGACAGTGTCCTGATTTGTTCCTGGGGAGGTTGGGAAGGCAGTTCTTGGCCCCTGAACACAGGTGTCACTTACCCACATTTTGAACTCAAAGTCTATACTAATATCTAAAAATATTGGCATGTACATGCATATGCAATACACACCATGCAGATGTCCACATACTATTCTACTAAGACACCAGACCAAAGCGTGGTAGTGGTAATGTGTTTAATGGAAAAGTTTTTGCCAGGAATAAGACCTGAATTTAGACCTAATTGCTAGTCAGGTGATGCTGTGAAAGTTACTAAAACTCTGTGTTCTTTCAAGTTATCGGTAGTAATTTGGTTAGGTGCAATTTAATGTTTCTTACAGTCCTAAATGATTTATGTTCTTGAGGCCCTAGATACCTAAACTGTGGGCAATGATTTCATAGGGGATGAAAACTTAAAAAACTGTTTTAAAATAAATTTATTTTGATGTATCAATTTTTAAACTTTTAGCACTGTAGCACTGTCCTCCCGTTGTTCATCAATTTGCTCGAGTGGGTCCAGTAACTTCTCCATTGTGTGACTCATTGTTGCTGTGTCTGGCATATCGAATACTTCACGAGTAGCTTGCCAGGCTTTGCTGTGTGGGCAAGATACTCTCGGTAGCTTGCCCACCTCTATGAGAGGGGTGGAGGAATCGCAGAGGAATTGAACCCGGCTGTGCCTGCCGGCTGCACACAAGGCAAATACCCTACCCCTGTGCTATTGCGCCAGCCCTTTAAACTTTTAATGATTGTAAATTAGTTCATATGTTTAGAATAGTGAACATTTATGGTTTGGAATTACACTAGAATAAGTTTGTGATTTATTATTAGTAAATATTTGATTGGCATATCCATGAATTAGTGTATACTTGGTATATCAGAAAACTGTTGGCTGAAAAGGGGTTGTGAGCAGGAAAAATTTCAGAAGCCCTATTCTACGGCAAGAGGAAGAAAAAATTCCGCTACATTTCTATCGGTGTCAGTGAGATGAGCATATCATATTGAATCCGCAGGGAATTTAATTCAGTTTACTGGGTTATTTTTTCTAAATATTATTTTTCTTGAGTTGAGCTCTTTAAATGTTTAATGTGACACCCACATCAATTTGCTACAAAGATGAAAGATTGTCCACAAAAATGCCAGAGTATCCCCTGGAAGTCTCCAGACACCAAAGGGTTCAACTCTGGAGGAGACCCTGACACCACAGGTGGGCTCTGGTGTCAAACAGCACAAGAAGCCCTGCCACCTCGGGTTCTGCTATTAACCATCAGGCTTAGGTGGCTAAATAATGCCAGGACTGACATCTCTCTTCCTAAGCCGTGCTTGGGAGTCCCCCATAGCCCCTCCAATTAAATTAACAAAATATTTATTTTCCTATTTATAAAGCATATTCACTTCAGTCATAGTTGGCCTTCTATTTGATTTTAAAAAGTTAAGTACCGGAGACTATAACTTAGTTTTCTGTTGTTGAGTTTACTTTTTTTTCTGAGTCAAGGAATTGATTCTTTTTCTTTTTCAATTTGTCATTAGTCCACGGAGATCTTTCAAAATTTGTTCAATTTCTGGACAGATGAACAACAATCCACTTAAGTGAGCGCTTTCGAACTCCAGCGCGAGGGAGGCTGAGATAGGAGTGCTGTCTAAAGGAATTCCGCTCAGCGGGTCTCTGAGTCACCATGCATGCTGGCAGTGAGCTGTTTTCTCTTTCTTTAGATAATGATGACATTTTTCTTTCTATGGACCTGCTCTCTCTTGAGTCGGTCGTGTCAACATTTCTCCAATGTGTATCAATCAGACTCCAGTGCTCAGAAAAGACGGGGTTAAAGGAACATAACAGTGTGGAATCTCTACTATGCTGGTGGCAGATACAACACCAACATACTTTGCAACTTGTCTAGGTTTGCTGTATTGTTTCTGCCAGTGGGTCATGTGTTGCTCTTGTGTTTTAGTTGCATCGTCATCAAAATTTTTCCTCAATAATTTATTGCATCTTGATTTCATTTAGGTTGTGGCTGTACTCAGATTATTTCAATCTATCAGAAACTATATCTTTTTCTGTTAATAAAGACAACTGCCCAATTTAAAATTTCATTTTTATTTTAAAAGAATAGCTTTTATTATATGCTATTTTGGTATATAAATTAGGTTAAAGGCTTTAATTAAATATAATAGTGTTAAGAAAAATGTGGACTAGAGACATAAAGGGGATAAGGTGATTCTTTGTATGTGGCTGACCCTGGTTGATCCCATACCACAGATGGTCCCTGAACAGTGCCAGAAGTAATTCCTGAGCACAGAACTGGGAGTAAGCTCAAGGTATTGACCCCAAAGCAAGTCAAAACAAACAAAAATGATAATTAAAAAAATGACTTAAGTATTGTCTATCCCTTAAAGAGCCTAAATTATAGCTGTTTATTAGTTTCTAGGTAGTCATATTTGGTATGTATTTGCTTAAGATAGCAATCATGTTAATAGGTAGGAACAAGTATTAATTTGGGGATTATTATGGCTATGATTTTGCAAATTAATTTTTGAAGTATAATTACAAAATAAGTTTATTATTATAAAATAGCTGATGGCATGACAGCAAATGAGATCTCTTGGTTCTTTATATTGCTGTTACCAACATTTCCAACATTGTTTTATATGTGCTTCAGATTTTACATAGATTTAAACAGTAGATGATTTAATAAATTCTATTATATTTTCAAATATAATATAATTAAAATATTTGATGCAAGCTTAAGAGTGCTTCATTTTGGTGGTAATGTGTTAAGCATGGAGCTCTATTAGCAACAATATTATAAACCACAGTGCCTAAAAGGAAAAAAAAATGGTGTGGCCAGGAGGGTGGAACGAAAACTGAGAACATTGGGAGAGAGATGTGGACACTGGTAAACTGTTGAAGGGATTGCTACTGGAACATTGTATGTCTGAAACTCAACTTAATCACAAATAAGTAAATCATGGTGCCCCATTTAAAAAAAAAAAAGAAGAAAGAAAGGAGTTTACACACACACACACACACACACACACACACACACACTTCATTTTGTGGCTCTAAACAAGAAGAGAAGAAATTTTAGATAAAACAAAAATATTAGTCAACATGTTCAAAATATTAAAATATTTCTGAACACTCCCATCAGTGCTTAGATGAGAAGAATGTAAGATTTTTTTGTACCATTTACACGTTCCAAATAATTTTCTTTTTATCGGTTCCCAGAAAAGGAAAATGTTGGTTTGGTTCCTCTGCAAGTTTCTCTCTATCCAGAGCAGACAATAAACATCCTTCAATATCTACCCCTTTGTTCATTCCAGTTAAAGTATGGAGCTGTGTGATTCTCTTTTTAGTAAGTAGGTCTTTGATAATTCATAGTAACTGGATATTCTCAAACTGAAATGCACAAAATGTTCAATAACCTTACAAGCTATTTTTAAAATGAAGTGTGTGTATCAGCCAAAAGAAAAATACATTGTTTATTGTATATTTCTAAGTTTCTAAAAGGAACACATCCTGAAGGCAAATTATTGGAAGTAATTGGTTTCAAGATCAAGAAAATTATGCTTTTCTTTTTAAAGCAAAGTTTATTTTGAAAAGATAATTGGTTTGGTGCATTAGGAATATATATGGTTTCAATTAATTGCCTAGCCAAATAGATATGAAACAATGAGCTATTTTCTTCCCTTCTTCAAAACAACTTGTCTATTGCAAATAATCTGAAATTTGACACTGAACATGGGGAAAAAACTTCAAAAAACTTTGAAGGTGCTTATTTGCCAAAATATTATATTACTATAAAATCACCTAACTTTTTTCTACTTATTATTATATTTAAGAGTATTTGTGTAAAGTGGGCAGATAAAAATTGGCATTCTTAAGCATCAGAGAGATGTAGTTATTAGAGCTGGTTCTAAGGATGCAGTAGATAGTGGGCATTATTAGAACTGGTCCTCTGAGCTCTAGTCCACCAGTTTGTTTCTCTTTGTTTTTTGGGTCATGTCAGCTGTGCTCAGGACAGAACCTACATCTGGGTAAGCTGCAGGAGACTTGTCTTCTGTAGTAATTTCTGTGCACCCCCACCCCACCCCACTTGTATTTTCTTCTGGGGCTAGGACACCTGGAGCTTCTTCTAGCACTGACCAGAATAAATCACTTCAGCTCTTTGCTTAATCTGTTGCCTCTATCAAATGGACCATGCACTCAGAATTACCAGAATTTCAGAAAAATTCCTATATTTTCTGTTCCTGAAGAAAGAGAGCATTATACATGTTAACTGCAGTGACAACAGTAATAAGAACTAAGGAATTGATATATGCAGAATGACAGCAAGAAGGGAATTCAGAGGAGCCAGTAAACCCAAATGGGTAACAGAAACAGAGAAATTCAAACTTACTGAAGAGATGATAGAATTCCTTTGGCAACTTCCACTTTTCAGGAGAAAATGCTACTGTCAGGCTGACATGGAAGAATCATGTGGTCACGCTGGCCAAGTGCTGCAGTTCTGGGTGGTCATGCTGGCCAGTTAGAACAGAAATCAAGTTAGAATTTCTGAGACAGTCTCCCAAAGCAAACTCCTTATCAGTGCATTCTTGGCACCAAGTCAGTTAATTATGCATGCTTCCAAAATTGCTCTGCAGGCAGCAGGGCAAATGCAAATTACTTGTGCAGAGGGTCAAGTAGTTAAACACATTTTTCTATTCAGTATACTTAATGGTTAGCAGTTGAATGATCATGTGTCCCAAACTATAATAATTAAATTTAAAATGAGTTTGATAAGAGGAAGGGTGGGGAGTGGGGCGGGACCTTGGAACACTGGTGGAGAAATGCTGCCTGTTGTAATTGAAACACTGTTGCCAGAAAATGTACTATTAACAACACTGTACTCTTGGTGCCTAAATAAAAATGTTTCTTTAAAATAAGATAATAAACTTTTGAACTTACAGCAGCACGAACCTCAGGAACCACTTAGGTAAAAAGGTGAAGTACCAGCTGACCAAAACTGATAGATTCATCCAGGGGGATTTAGAAAACAGAAAGAATGATTCTTGGGCATTGAGGGGTTTCACATTGGCAATAATAATAAAATCACTGCGTATGTGTTACTTCTGATTCATTACTGTATAGAATGCAGAATATAAACCTTTGATTGTAATTTTGTTTTAGGTTTTTTTGGGGGGAGTTTTCAGGCTGTACCCAGGAGTCCTCAGAAATGACACCTGGCAGTGCGTGGCTCTGTGTACCACCATATGTAGTGCCTCGAATCAGATTTGTGTCAGCTGCATGTAATGCAAACACGTTATCTCCTGTACACGTTATCTCAGCCCCTGTTACATTTTGAGGTGGCAATGTTCATCCATGTCCCTGAGAGTTAGAAATGTTTTTTAGATAACAGATGTTTCCCTACTTAGGAAATTCAATCTAGGGCCCTAGTCAAAAGCTGTGGTCTAATATGTCATACTGAAACTCTTGACTCTTGGTTTGGTCACACAAATAAAACTATGCTGTATGACCTGGGTTAACAAGAAATCACAAATCCAGAGAATGGAGGCTGAATCTGAATGATCTAGGATGAGGTCATGCTAGGTATCTCTGGTCCTTGCTCAGATCCCAAAACCATACAATTCCAATTGAGTCTACTCTATTTTTTTTGTGGGGGTAGGAAGGTGGGTACACCTGATAATGCTCAGGGCTTTCTCCTGGCTTTGTGCTCAGGTATTACTTCTGGCCATGATCAGGGTGCCGTATGGGATGCCAGGGATCAAACCCAGGTTAGCTGCATGCAAGGTATGTGCCCTATCTGCTGCACTGTATCTCCAGCCCCCAAATTGAGTCTCCCCTTTGCTTTGACCTGCAGGTTGAAGAGGTCTTGGAAAAGGTGAATTTCTCCTCCTTCAAAGAATGGGGAGATGAGGAGGGGGAACTGTCCACTTGCAAAGTAATGCATCCTAGGTTTCCAGGTATCAAATGCAGTACTTGTTGATTGAAATACAGTCATACTAACTGAAAATAACCACAATTAAGTCCACTTAATACCCACAGTTAAATTCAGTACACTATTCTAAAACCCAAATTAGCCCTTGATTTAGACTACCTCAATATGATTTAAGGCTACTTCAAATTTCACTTAGTCATTGGTTCCTCAAAAACCTAATACAATAATACATTTTGGAATTAAGATAGCACTTCAAATTGGTTACATTTTCTTATATATTATGGAGAATGGGGGCTGGAGCGATAGCGATAGCACAGCGGTAGGGCGTTTGCCTTGTGCTCAGCCAGCCCGGCCATGCTGATTTCGATACTCTCACCCCCTCTCAGAGAGCCCGGCAAGCTACCGAGAGTATCTCGCCCACATGGCAAAGCCTGGCAAGCTACCTGTGACATATTCAATATGCCAAACGCAGTAACATCAAGTCTCAAAATGGAGACGTTACTGGGCCCACTGGAGCAAAATCGATGAACTCTGTATTTGTGTGTTTGTTTGTTTGTTTTTAGGGAGAATAAATTGGAAAAAATGGTTAATAGAAAAGACTCATAAAAATAAATGGAGGTTCCAGTTTGAGCAAAATAAGAAAGAATTTTAAAATTTCTTGCTTAGACTTAAAAATTTGATCCAAGAGAAATGGCAAGTCCACAGCCTTTAAATTTTGAATTACACTAATCTCAAGTTTCCTAAAATTTTCTCTGGAATTCCTGAGAATAGACATTCCTATTCTCATCTTTACAGTCACATACAAATACTTATGTATAAGCTGGAATATAGGACATCAAATACAAGAGTATTACAATGTTTCATATATCTTGTCATGATGCCAAGTTATCCTTATTGAGCACTATATTCTCAGTGTACATTGCATGAACTTAAACTATTTCCTCTGTCCTCCGTGTCATCATAAAACTTGCTTGGAATCCTATAGCCCAAAGTGATTGTTATAAAGTGGGACTTTGGGAGATGATTCAGTGAAGAGGATGGAGTCCATCATAAATGAATCAGTTCCCCCTTCAGAGAGAGGCAACAGGACTCCTTACCCTTCTTCCACAGAAGGATATGAGAAAATACTGAAACTTTAAGGGTAGCTTTCACCTGACCGCTCTGGAAACCTGATCTTGGACTTCTAGTCTGTGGAAAAAAAATGCTTTATTTTTATAAACCACTTTGTTTATGGCATTTTTCTTATAACATACTAGACAGACTAAGGCACTCATATTGAGTGTAGCATATTCAAGAAGGAGTTCATGGACTGTTATATTTCATTTCTGCAGTGTTAGATAGATTTATTTGGTTGTGATTCATGTCGAGGTTGTATTTAAACTGTTCATTCAGGCCATCCCCCCCACAAAGGCATGCAAAGAAGGTTGAATATGAGGTTTCCTCATAAGACTGACATAAGTTGAAATCATCCCTCTCTCTGATTTATTGAAGTGAAGATAGCTATCTAACTACTCCTTGTCCTTTCTCACTAACTTCCTTAATTATTTCTTGATGCTATGGAGTGCTATATAACTAAACATTACTAAGAAGCTTTACAGCCCTAAGTCTGCTATTATGGTGTATTATAGTCCACTGCAATCATTCTAATGGTCTAAGATGCTGCAACTAATTTACCTAAGACTGAGAAGCAGAAGAGCAGAAATTGTCTGCGAGTTTTATTCTGATCTAGCCATTACCCTGAAGTAGGATGTATTACTCCTCATATTCTTTACAAGTGTCAGTGCAAACCCAACCATCAAACAAAAGTTGGACCTAAAAGCTTTTAGATTATAGCGATTATTACAGATTTTTACATGAGATAAAATTGTAATTGCTCCATTTCTTTCATTCTTCTTTCCTCCCACTGCATATTTTAGACTTCCTGTTTGACTGCCAGGTGAGACCCAGCACACAAAGATGCTGATCATAAAGACAGGGAAGCTGGAGGGATCCTTTCCTTGGAAATAAAATGCTTAGAATTTCTCTTCTAAATGGGTCAGAATTTCCATTGTAATTTCCATTTTTAAATTCTTTTATGTCTATGTAAACTCATGCAATGCCTATAGAGGGATAATGTTCTTAGTCCTTTGGATTGTTATAGGGAATAAGCTAAAGGCAGAAAGCCTTCGTAGAAAATGATGCCTATATGCATACATACATATATTGCCTTGCCTTGCATTCTTTCTGCTTGTTCATGTTCACTTTTAAAAATTCTTCGAATATTTTAAAATCTTTTTTTGAAATTTTTCCTAATCTCTTCCTCCCCCTCTATTTTTTTAAACTTTTTGGATCATACCTGGCAATGCACAGGGTAACTCCTGGCTCTACACTCAGGAATTACTCCTGGCGGTGCTCAGGGGACCATATGGGATACTGGGAATCGAACTGGGTTTGCCGTTTGCAAGGCAAACATCCTACCCACTGTGCTTTCGCTCCAGGCCACATCCTCCTCTCTACTTTTATCCCTTATTATTTCCTTTTTTTCCTTCTCTCCAGCCTTGAGTGTTGATTGGTACAACTATTATTTTCTTTCATTCAGAATCATTCACTGTATGTTCTGCTTAATAAGGTGTGTTTATAAAGAATATGATTGAGAAGAGCACAGCCTTTCTCACTATAAAAAGTTGCATAGTGGGAACACTGGTTTTTACTCATGTTCAGGGAAGCAGAGCTATATGGATTATGCTCTTTGTTCCTAGAATATGCGGCAGACACAGCCTTAAATTTATTTTGTTCTTGCTTATGTCTTTGGCTTTGAATTATATTTTATTTATTTATTTATTTATTTTTGAATCCTATATGGCAATACTCAGGGTTTACTCCTGTGCTACTCAGAAATGACTCCTGGCACAATTTAGGGAACCATATGGGATGCTGGGGATTGTAACGAGGTTGGACGAATGTAAGGCAAACGCCTTAAACGCTGTACTATCACTCTAGCCCCTTGAATTAGATTTTAAGCTGTTTGTCTTTAGTTCTTTATAAAGTGAGGGAAATATTCTAAACTCAGTATTGTTAATTTTGGGATGAAGAGAGTTCCCATAAATAGTTCTTAGCATATTTGTGTACCCTTCTCTGCCTATTCCTATTCACTGATACATATGTCTGAGAAAAAATCTCCTCTTAATATGCACTATACTTTATTTTACCTGAGAACATTTTTTTTGCTTACCTTTGAAGCCGGCGATAGCACAGCGGGTAGGGCGTTCGCCTTACACGCAGCCAACATGGCCGACCCGAGTTCGATTCCTCCACCCCTCTCGGAGAGCCCGGCAAGCTACCGAGAGTATTCGATATGCCAGACACAGTAACAACAAAGTCTCCAATGGAGACGTTGCTGGGCCCACTCGAGCAAATTGACGATCAACGGGAGGGCCTTTACCTTTACCTTTACCTTTACCTTTGAAATGTCACATAACTGCTTCTGTTTAATTACAATATGAATATTTTGTGTCATTTCTGAGAATGTCCCTTAGAAAGATGAATATTATTCTTTTTTCTCCCCTCAAACATATTCTTTCCTAAAATGCTTTCATTATCTCTGAAAC